TTTGTTTATAGGCAAATGTTTGCAATCTCGATCACTGAGACAGTAGTGGAGTGAAAACTAGTCTTAAACTACCGCACCGCACACTGGACTGGCCAAATACACATTTGTCCACGTTGATGGTAAGGCCATAGTGATCAAAATGCCCAAAGATTGGGCGAAGATGAGAGAGATGTTCTTCGTGGTTAGAGCTGGCCACGAGAATGTCATCGATATAAGCAAAAACGAAATCAAGTCCTCGGGGAACCTGGTCAATGAATCGTTGAAATGTTTGTGCGGCGTTTCGTAGTCCGAAAGGCATACGGACGAATTCAAAAAGACCGAAGGGTATGGTTTTAGCTGTCTTGGGAATGTCATCAGGGGTGACAGGAATTTGGTAATATGCCCGGACCAAGTCAAGCTTAGAGAAAATTGCTTTGCCGTATAGGCCAATAGAAATGTCGTGAATATGTGGTACCGGATACCTGTCAGGGCAGTGACATTATTAAGCTGACGGTAATCACCACAAGGTCGCCAATCTCCACGAGACTTTTTGGGGACCATGTGCAAAGGTGAAGACCATGGGCTATTAGAAGGCCGGACGATATCAAGGCGGAGCATGTGCTCAAACTCGGCTTTGGCGTTGGCGAGTTTATCGGGTGGTAGTCGGCGAGGTCGAGACGTGACCGGTGGTCCACGAGTAACAATGTGGTGCACAATCTCGTGTTTAGGTGCGGGACAATTATTGGACGGCAGATACAACGCGGAGAACTGTTGGAGTAACTCGGTGAACACAGTGTTAGTAGGTAGAGTCATGCGAAGTCCGATCGAGCTGATCGAAGTGGCTCTGCCCGGAGTGGTGAGGGAGGTGATACTATCACGAAGTTCCCCGTTACGTAACTCGACAGTGAGACCAAATTGGGTGAGGAAATCGACACCAATGATAGGGCGTTGTACATCTGCGATGAGGAAAACGAAAGAAAATGTTCGTCGAAGACCAAGATCGAGATTAAGCAACTTCTGACTGTAGGTCTGGATTCTCGGGTTATTAGCCGCCTGGAGAGTGGGTCCTGTGGGAATGAGGTAGCGTTTTTCCATTCCACGAGGCAGAACGCTGACCTCGGCTCCAGTGTCAACCAAGAATGGAAGGTTGGTTGTGGAATCACGGACAAAAAGCAGGCGACTAGCAGATGTGCCAGCCGAAGTCGTCGCCATTACTGGCTGGCTGGGGCGTTTCCCTGTTGAGCCTTGGGGAAGGCTTTCGAATGCGAGCAACCAGGACGACACTTTTTTGCCGCGTCACCAAAACGTCGATGGTAATAGCAAATATGCTGTCCAGTGTTCCTAGCGTGTTTGTTTCTGCTTCTCGAAGTGGATCTAAAACTTCGACTGCGGGGGCGACGTCCTCTCTTAACGGCGAGTTCGAGTATGGACAGTCTCTGACAAATGGATTCAATGGGATCTGATGACGAGGAAGCCTCAGGTGGGGTGACCACAGCGTGACAAACTGGGCGCTGAAAGAAACACTCATGAACTTTGTCGGCCGTTTCTGCTAGTTTGTCAAGTGACAAATCGTCGGCGGATACAGCGAGAATCGCCGTAGTGTTGGATGGAAGACATTTTAGCCACAATGGACGTAAGACACTGTCCTCGACTTTAGAGGAACCTACGAGAGAGCGCATATAACGGAGAAGCTGTGAAGGTGAACGGTCACCCAGTTCAACTCCCGAGAGAAGTTGGTGAAGTCTGCTCTCATCAGAAGCTGTAAGGCGTTTCAAAACAGCAGCCTTAAGCTTATCGTAGGGGGAATCAGTAGGAACAGGGTCGAGTAGGTCAACCACATCGGCGGCTATGTGCGTGGGAAGATGGGCAGCGACGTAGGAAAACATAGAACTATGGGAAGTGATGCTACGGCAACGGAAAAGAGCTTCTAACTGTAAAAACCAGATGTGTGCATTGTTAACGTCAAAAGCTGGTAGGGAAAAACCAACAAAATTTTCAGAGGAGTCAATATGGGGAGTGATACTGGACGACATTATGCAGGCGAAAAAAGTTCCAGCAGGAAAAAAACTAAGAAAATCTGGGGTCACCAAATATGTAGTGGAGTGAAAACTAGTCTTACACTACCGCACGGCAAGGAAAGGATTAGCGTCAGATAAAAGTATCAACACGCTGACCTTCAGTAGTGATGGTTAGACTAACTCCACTGATATTGCACACTCCCTGATACTATATTCCCGTGTTGGTTCCGCGAAGCTCAGACTTTCCAAAGCACACAAACCAGGCAATCGCAACACGCCGCCGAAGGAAAGCAGAACGCGCCGTTCGAGGTCGAGAATAATGTATATGAAAAGACGATCAATTAAAACAACTGTACAAGACGCATAGGAAAACGAAATGAGGAAAGCGCAAAATATGAAAAAGCTATGAGCACTACAAGACTGCATCCAAAATGGCGGGTTGCGGGTCTGTTCTCTCCCAACAAAAAAGGTATTTATGACAGCGCTCCAACATGATATTCAGCGCGTTCATAAACCTACGTAAAACACGTCAACAACCGTGGTTTTTTGTTCAGGGACACCAACGTTGTTATGAGCCTAAATGACAAAGAACCGTGTTTGTCTGATGGAAACCCAGCGATATGTTTACAAGGCTTACTCAGATCTATTCATATGGGCATGTTACTGCTTCTGACAAACTTCTTTCCAAATAAGTGCACCGTCAGACCCAATTACAGTCAAACCTGTCTAAGATGACCACTTAAGTGACCGACAAAAGGTGGTCACATCGGACAGGTGCTCGCCATGGACAGATTCATGCATAAGGACAATGTTCATGAAAGAAAACCTTGGGGGCGTCTTTGGCTTGTCGCCATAAACAGGTGCTTGTCTTAGACAGGCGGCCGCCATAGCAGGATGGACTGTAGCAGTAAAACTTAATGAACCTCTTTGATTTCAGACATAAACCGGATTGGAAGTAAAGTTAATATCCTATGTTACTTCAAACACAAAGTCTATTCTGTTAGCACAGCAGACAGGCAAACAAGGTGGGAGGAAAATTTGAGCAAGTTCTGTTGCTCCAGTACGTTTCGAACTCTAGCAATATTTCCTACATAATTTGTGTACAAAACGTATTCACCAGGACAGCTGCTTGCTGTCTTTATTGCAGTCTGTCCGAACGAAGCCAAATGCCCCGAACTGCCATGATGTTCTATAAGAGTCTGTTAATCACGTAGCAACTGAGTAGTTTTTTCCAAAGAGGTTTAGAGGGACACAATGATATCACCGTCCCGTGGATACAGGTAATAGCAGCTTGCAAATTTTGCTAAGACAACTGTGATGAACTCGCGACACGTCACACCTTTGCCACTACGCCTTTAATATGATTATTATTATTTCTGCTACTACTACTACTAAGAATAATAATAAGGTATATCTTTCGTGGTACAGAGAAACCGAGCACACAAAGGGACGGATTATATTTACATTACAACATGCTTAGACATGCCAGACTGTCAATAGTTTGGGTTGTGACCGGGTTACTATAGGTATGCTTTTCGTATATTCTCCTCTGGGACTTTTGTCCTCTTATGTTACCAGTTCGCAGGCATTCTCATTTGGTTGTTTTCGGTGTAGCTTGGTAGTGCCATGGTAGCGGCGGTTTGATGGGGGGGGGGAAGGAGTATGAAAAAGATGATTTAGTCACCAAGCCAAATCAGATGAGTAATACACAACCTTACTTAACAGACTGGAGTAATACACTTGGATCTATTTGTGAGTAGTAAGTTAGGGATTGCGAAAGTAAGGAAAAGCCTATATCAAGGTAACTTCAGTGGATCATCAAACTCAACTCACCTTATCAGGATAAGATGGGCAGTATTCACATCGTAGGGTGTTAAGGCATAGAGTGGTGTCTAGACATTCCTTATTCTAATTATGGACTTGAACTAATCAAGTTGTGTTTTGGACTGCCATATGGGTGATATGCTGGGTGAGCTCGGTTGCATTCCTTTCAGCCTTTACTTGTAGGCGTATATTTATGGCGTAGGTGACTGCACCGAAAATCTAATGTTGCAAATAGTGAAGTAAAACGATAAGTAGACTAGGAAATAAATGCCTATTCACTGCGAAGTCAGGACTTATTCAGTGCATCCTAGTCTTATAGGAGATGCCAAAGACGGGGTGATTAAGAAAGTGTGCAATAGTTATCTGAATTTTGGTGTAGAGAGGAAAATGCACCACCACTAAGAGCGCGACTATGGTCTAAGTAATAACTCGATGGGAATTATCAGTAACACAGTAGGAAGGTAGAGATAAAGTAACTAGGAACCAGGAGAACAACAGATTCAGTGCAGAATGAAGTAGGGTAAGAAAGAACAAGTGAAGTAGTACGATCATTTGTTGAACAAATCACTGCGTTGGCACTGGTGAATGAGAAGCAGATGTGACATCAATGCATTGACTCGACATGAAACCGACAATCCAGTTACGTGCAAAGAGCAAAACAAGAGATAGTGGAGGTAATTCGACCAGACACTGTCGACGGATACTTCACACACACTCGGCATTTGGGGAACTCTTAACTGCCTGCATTACAATGCTCTTTTTTAATGGACACAACTCAACAGCACACGTTACCATTTCAGTGGGTGAAATGCTTACATTCCTAACAGCAGGCGCCTTAGCTACCGATCGTTGTCGTGACTAGTAGTTCTATTAAAGTTTAGTTTAGTGCGAACTGCAAAATCATTCAGTAGTGGAGCCGAGCCGACCCCTGACACTTGCCATCAACCTTGCGTGTGCATTCGCCCCAGATGAACCAGTCTATTGTTTACACTGCCAAATGTTAATCGACTTAGACAAGACAATTGTGTAGTTCTCCTAGTCGATCTGTATATTGCTCAGGAGGAGTTAGTTAAGAATATATTTTATCACCGCTACTGTATCTCACTTACGTCTTGGAAAATGATAAATAAATACATAGATAAAACTTCTAGGTTCTCCTCGTCTTCTCCATTTCGACAGCACATGGACGAACCCGTTCCTGTGTTCTTTGCTGCCAATAAAGTAGACCTCACATCACAAAGAGTAGTCACTGCAGAAGAGGGAGAACAAGTAAGTCATTCACACGTTCATCTTCGGCCACGTAGATTGTCAGCCGCTGCAACTCGTTTTCGCTTACTTTTTCCATGTTACTTACTAAAATGGGTACCATCAAATTCGGACTGCATTCAACATCTACCACGAGTTGTGATTTGCTGATCTTACTAATGTCTGGTATATTGTGTTAACTTCAGCTTGCATTGCAACAATGTGCACATGGACATTTCGAGACAAGTGCAAAAAGCGGACAGAATATAAACGAACTGTTTCAGCGCGTAGCGGATTCCATGGTGGCTACGTGGGGTGCCCCGAGGGTAGTTTTATTTCATTTCTAATTCCATAATGTTGCTGCTGTTTCATTTGATTTGCTTCGACCTAAAGTACCTCATGCACAGATTCTGTATGTTATCATACCGTTGTGCACATTGCTGACTGCAGCAAACAACCGTCAACTTCACCTATTATTTAGCTGTATACCTTAGTGGATTGAGTTAAGAATAGCTCCACTTTAGTAGCAGTCAACGGGGAAAGAACAGTCTCCCCAAGCACATATTTATTTGAACATGAGGGACCACCTATACAATCGCTGTCAGTTCAACCAGGAAATGATGAGGACGGGCTTGTTACTCCTTATCCACGTGTGTGTTCCTAACGATGAAAATATAACCAGGGTTATACAGGGCTGTTTTCTTATCCTGCCTTCCATCTATGATCAACCAAAATGTTAGAGTAACTAAGCACACAAGTCAGACAGTGTGGGTTCTTGGTAAACTCACTCGCAAATTTCAATCGTCAGAAAGTATGTATGCTGGAATCAAATTAAAAAGCAGAGAAGTCATTTTGTAAGCGTTCTTGTCGCCTAGATATGCATTGTAAAATTCGGTGACTGGGCTGAATCTTGTCACGTGTAGGCAGCAGGCGCTACTTCTTGACTGTCTAAGCCTGCAGAACCACAACATTGAATCACATAAAGTAGCATAAATTATTCAAAGTTAGATTTGGAGTACCAGCTGCCGACATCGTACTCACGTGACAGATGAGGCCACAGTGCTGAAATGCGTTTAGCTATGTGGTGAATAAAATAGCTCGGTGGTAGATCGATAGGACGCAGACAGCTATTCCGATTGGATCGGGTTAGATTGGAAGGGGTAGGTCGCTAGTCTGGATTGAGGCGGAAACACCTACTAAAGAGCACCTTTCCACCTATCCTTTTTCTCCTTCTGGCTCTTCAACGTTGTTCTCGATGGAGCAAACTTTGAATATGCTTTATTGTCTCACACAGACTGAGGTAGAATCCACTTACGTTGAGTTGTCGGTGCTTCGCTTGTCACACGAACAGAATGTGTGAAATGTTGGAATGAGCTAACCACGCTGCCGCACGCCCACTCATCAACAAACATACACTTTTTAATTTGCTTGCCTTCTCTACACTGTTCCACATGCAAGTTTAAGATTGTCCCACATTAGTAAACGACTTCGTATCCTAGTACTTTCATAATCCAATCACACATTTACTGTCCATGTGTTCTTTAGCGGTGGTACGAGGTGACGGAAAACGGTGAAGTAGGGACACATTGGCCGAACCAGGTGAGCAAAATTTTTGGAACGAAGTTTATTCCCACGTTCAATTTACGTTTGTTGTACCGCTCGCATGTAGCGTAGTGCACTCCATTATATAACGAAAATAGCTAACGATGAGTTGAAAAGTTGGTTTAAAAAATCTGTCTTGGTCCACTGTGGTTGAGATTGCCTTTGAGAATATAATGTGTCTAACTTGGGGCGCTTCGAAAACGCAACCTAGTGCTGGGTCCTAAGCGAAATGTTACATTAGCAGGGAGAAACAGTGAAGTTATGGGGAGTTTAGAAAACACGCCATTTGACTTCGGGGGATTAGACGACCCAACGGGCAGCTGATGACAACACATTTGCCGCGGCTGTTTTGCATAAAAATACATTTTGTTACCAGTTCCGACGTAGAACATGAGGAACCCTCCTTCTGTCCTGACAATAGGAGTGGTTTAAGATCCCTTCCGTTTGAGGCTGTGTGCAATACCATAATACTCAGTTTGAACGTGCGTGCATTCGCCGAGCCCCTGCTTCAGCTGGCGCTTTGTCATGCATCCAGTTAATAACTGTTAAGCAAAATGATCCGGTATGATTCGTGTGCGTGCTCGGTGGTTTTAGCTAGTTGGAGATTCTTTGGCTACATTTTGAGTTGAGTGCTTTGGGCAACAAGTTGGTCTTCCTTTAGTTTTATTTCTTCTGTGGATCATTACTCACGCACGGGAACGTAGCCGAGCCGGCTCTTGACTAGCAGTGACTCACAAAGTAAAGGAAAGCAAACCAGAAACAGAGGCGGAATCGTCGGACAAGGGAGAACAGCAGTATCACATGAGGATAAACAAGCTTGCCATTGGAATTCCAACCGCGCCATGCAGTATAATGCCCATCCCCAGACAGCCATCCAAGAACGTGGCGTGCACTGATTCCGCAATGGCCCGGATATTTCCTTGTGCATGTTTTCACATTTTTATGGTTCTTTTTGCAGACTCAGCCGTTGCACTTTGACAATATGCCTCCAAAATTTACATGAGATGGGATTCATTAACTGGCTGTTGTTGTCAACTGAAAAATATTGATGTGCAGCGCTTGTCCGAATGTCAATGTTATGCATTTGTTGCTTCATTGGCCAGCTTGGTTGTGGGGAGGTTGAAAATGGCAGCCTCTTGACTGTTTTTGCATTTATCCTGCAGTTGATAGGTAAAAAACGGAATGCACATTTCCTACGCCACGAGTAACAGTTGCTAAGCCATACTAATTCACTTCATTAACCTGCTTTTTCCCCGCTACTTTTACTACGACGCATATCTCTACGCAAACTTTGAATCGACCCTCTGTTTTCTTTTTCTACAGATGCCAGTTCGACAAACTGTCCAACTCAGCTATCCAATTGAACAGCCGCCAAAGTCTAGATGCTGTCAGCTAAAATGAGAGACGTTTTATCCCAGTGCTATTCATGTAACCCTTGTAAAAACGAAGAAGATATTTGTACAGCTTTTTCCCATGATGAACCAGTTCTCATCTCAAAAGGATGGATTTCGGCTTAAGTGAATTAGTTTCTAGGCAGACTAAATTAAACTGGAACCCGGGCCTAATATAGCACTATACAAAGGGCCATAAACGGCATTGACAACAGCAACTCTTTTCCCCTCCGACTAGATAAAACCCGATGCGATTCACATGGAGGCTGTTAAACAGAATTGCATGAATGTACCGGAACCAGAGGCCTGTTTTTATCAACTTCACAATATGCCACATTATACGATAGGCACAATACTCAATGTTCAAACTTTCACATTAATCATGGCAAGCAATTCACCTGCACTAGTGGATATGAATACAAAAGTTGTGTTGTGGAACTGCCCATCTGTTTGGAGGGTTCTTTGCATTCAATAAAGTGATTTCGTTAATTAGGCCTCTCACTACTCCGTACAAACATTCGGCTCGGTACTCAACTGTACTTAAGAACAACGCGATATTCCGTAGCGTTTCGAACGAGCTGCGTACAGAATCGTTAGTTCACCAAGTAAGTTTAATTGTGAAGTTGACCTGTCATAACAGCTGCTTGCATTTATGCTAGCGACCAAAATTGTCAAGAGGCTGTGTCACTTGTCACAGGAACAGAGCCTCAGAGTGCTTGGCATTTTCAGTGGACGTTATCGCCGTTTGCGTAGTGACCTAATCATGGTTTGCCACATATTAACCAATACTCATCACCTCTGTCATCACCCACTGAAAGTGAGTCACAACAGCCAACTGAGAGGCCATCATCACAAATTGGCAGAACAATACAGTCGGTTGGAGTGTCGAAGAAACTTCTTCTCGCTGCGTGTTTGCCACACGTGGAATACCCTCTCAGAAGCTTTTAATTCAGCCTCCACGTTAGCCGTGTTTAAAGCATGAGTCAACAGTGTACTGGTCAAACTACATCATATCCCGTAATTCAGACGATCCATATAAACAGCAGGAAAATAAAAACAAAACAACACACCTCTATTTTGCCTGGAAACCGCAGATGATAACCTTGGTTAGTACATAAAACGGACGAGAGCGCTGTAATCAACAATTTCGCAATTTGCAGTTGTTCACTATTTTCTATTGCTATTTTGCTTTTATTTTGCTCACCCCCAACCGACCATTCGGCGGGAGATGTCAAGCTGCGACTATTTTATCCGCAATATGGTTGGCGGCATCCGGTTTCGGATTTGTCTGTCACTGTGGCCAGACACAGGACGTCTGCGGCTGCAATATACCATTGACCATAGCCAACAGCGAAACATACACCTGGTGCCTCTGCACCGGCATCGTTAAAAGTTAATTACCAAACTAAGCCAATATAGGTGTTCGAGGTATTGTATCAGTTTGGACTTGGCGGACGGGATGATAACCATGACGGATAAAGTACATACACTAGTGGTTTATGCTAAAGCACTTGTGCTTTACACCGGACAAAGCGTGAATTTTGGTTCACCCTGAATTCCGCTGATAGCCGGAGCAGAGGCGGTCCGCCTAGGGCGGGAAGTGACAGGGGGCGGCATTTTGAGTGCCGTCGATTGTTCAGTAACAAATCTAATGGGCAAAATATCCGGATATGCTGAGAGACAAAGATTTTATTGTTACTGCGTATGACCTCCACATACATCCACATCCGCACCACGTGTATCACCCGTGTGAACTTTCTTCCCAGCAGTCCGCTTGTCCTATTGTGGTCACTTTCACCACGTTTAACTCAGTATCCCAAAAGATCATCCAATTCATCGAAAACTAAGGTGCACTTTGCCCTAAGCCGATTAGGTGACCTTCACGCGCCTATACTGCCTTCAGTCAGGGCGAAAATTGCACCACCTTCCCTGGCGGCAAAAGTAGTTGCTACGCCACTGCACCGGAATAGTGGCCGTCACTTGGGCTGGTGGGTAGAGCCCAGTTGAATGTCTCTTCAAGCAAGCAGTTCGCATACTCATGAGAGAAACCAGTCTATACGCTATCGGTGGGGATAGTTTAAAATGCACCGTCTTTACAACAAACAACTAATGGTAAAGGACATCTGTATCAGGAGTTTTCTGTGAAAATGAAGTTGACATGCAGCAGTAAGCCCGAATAGAAAACATGGACGGGTTGCACAGCAACCCGTGCAAAGTTCTACCCATCTTTCTCACATCCGCTGCTGACCAGAGGCAACATAGATGGGAGAGAGAAGTGATGCATCCTTCTTCAAAATGGATGTCGTTTATGTTTGAGCGTTACAGTGTGACAATACTTCAGGATTTTGTCAACCCCTTCCCCAAGACTATAGATCGTTGTGACCAACACCACGAGACTACGCACACATTCAGAAATTGCTTGGATTGTACGAGGTTACCGCCTACGCGTCACCCCTATAAAGTGAGGCACGATGATCATATGGTCACACATCCCATGATGCCACGAATGTAAGCGCATTTAACATCCATTAATAACTTTTACCAAGTTCTTTTAGGGATCGAATTATTGGCCGCATACAGCACGAGACTTGACAGTCCATATGGAAAGAAACTACCTGAAGTTGACGACACGTAATTTCTCATGCAACTAAAACCAAACTGCGACGACGACACATCACCCAATGTGCGTTGACGGAAAGAGCAGAGTAAGCAGTGAAGCTAGAACCAATGCTTTTCATCTGATTGGCGTACAGTAGTTAGTTCAACTGTTCTGTTTTTTTCAAATTAAACCTTCCTAACCACGTTTATGACTTCCTAGACATACCAGGATGATGGACATCCAAGCACAGGTGCTAAAACTCGCTTTTGATTACAAAGACAAACATCTGTCCGTCAGCATCTGTTACTTGTATATCCGGCGTTTTTGTTGCTACCGTGTTAATATTTTTCACGAAACCAGTTGATTTAAGGGGCACCTTATTTTCAGCTGCCGATTACCATTCACGCATTGCACCAAACATGCTATGATTTAGAGCACTTAGTTCACTTTGAAACCTTCAAAAGCACTGAAAGAAGATGAAAGCTATCAGATGCATGTATTTAGTATTGTTTATTTAGTGTCTTTACTTTTAACCGATTCGTATACTTGTACCCCACATTGGATGCCAGCAGTCTGTATATTTCACTGGTATCCAATTTACTATGGAATGAATATCACAATATCCTAGTTGCATAGAACTTTAGCAATACCCAGCCTACTGCATGCATAGCTTTGTATGCGTATGTGTGTGTATTTATTTCACGCCTAGTACTCTGCGTCACTCAAGAATACGATAACATCTCTTCAAGCAATGTTGATTTAGTTGTCCATATGGTGGATGCCATTGTCTCCGTCATTCCCCATCATATTACAGATTATGGCACTGACACGTGCATCATAGACTTATTCCTAACGACACCTTCTAGCTTGATATTCCTCTGGTTGGAAATTGCGATCAGATTTGATTCTCGAGTGCACAACCAGTAAAATATCTGATGTTTTTTGACTGCTTTCTTCCCAGCTCGCATAAACAAAACTTGCACCAGAGCTAACCATCAAACAGAATTTTTAGACAAAACATTAACTGGATTTCTGTGGACATCTGACACAGCCATACACATAGTCTTACTCCTGATAACAACGAGCCAGCGGCCAGTCAGGTGATCATGCACCATAGCTGATCCCCGCTCTGAGTATTTAAGTTAGGGCTATGTGCAAACAACGGCTGAAAGGTCATTGTCTCGTGCCTCATGGTTTATTGTCTCGAACATTTTACTTGAGTCAATGAACAGCGACTAAAAGTACCGGCATGGATTATAGCACTTTCCTGCAGTTGTCATGTCGCAGACGCCAGTTCGAATGCGACATAGCCAGAGAGAAATTCCTGGTTCTTTCGGCTATGCCTGGTCCCCAAAAGTGAGCAAGCCGTTAGTCAAACAGAATCAGAGTATTAGTGATTTTCAGGGGGCTTATTGGGTTTTGTGAAGATTTATCACAACTTGACTCAAGCAAACAGCCACCACACATCTAGGAAAGCGCTATGCGGTCGTTTCATCCTACTGGGACTGATCAGTGGCGTGCACCTGCCGTAATCCTGCCGGATTCCAACCCACGACGCTAATCTTGCGAACCGGCGACTTGTACCACAAAGCCATAGGCGGACCACTATGACTGACTGCTAGCTGCGATGTAGCGCGGCGCATTCTCCACTGTCATGCATGTTATGAACGTGCAGAGGATATGGATGGCCCTTAGAGAAACGACTTCCTTACCAAGCCGCTCCCAACTACAGTGACAAGTAAGCTGCTAAAGCGGTTAGTGATTATTATTGAATAACAAGGGATTGATAAGGTTTTGTGAAGATGCTTGGTGGCTGGATATGTGGTGACTATCTGCCTGAGTCTAGCTGCGACGAATCTACACAAGAATCCGAGTAACCGCAATTAGATGAAGTCAGGATGTTACTTCACATTTGTTTCCTCCTTCACATTTTTACGGTAGCAGAAAAACATCATCATAGCTTTCAGTAAATGTTACTCCTTTCCATCTCACGTACTCCAACCACTGGGTCACTGATGGCCACTATTCGGTGCTTCTATCGTAATCCGCGGATTCGCCAGCCGTAAAATGAGCAAGCGCTATGGGCGTTTAATTTAATGCCAACGATTCGTGCTAGAAGTGTGCACAGATTTACGAAAATTTGGTACCTAATAAGATATAACGCATGTTGCACAATAATGCTTGAAGTACGAACACCATTCGCAATTCACACAGATCATTCCAATGAACAATAGCGCAGCCACAGAGACATTGAGTGACCCCAACCGCGTATGCCGCCATTTGCTGAAACTAAGCCACAACACGCAGCTCAGGTGTAACTGCTTAAAGTTGAAGGAACAATATAGCCGTCTAGAGTGTCGACGGAATTACTTTTCCCTTCGGGTTTACCAACCCTGGAACGCACTCCCAGA